CCCGCCCGCCCCGCCCCGCCCCCGGTCGCAGGCCTTGCCTTAGCGGCTCTGGGTGGGGAAAGGGGGTTTCTCACCTCTTGCTCCCCCGAAGGCTGCCCGGAGAGAGGCTGCAGCCACCAGCCCACACGCAGCGTCATCGTTTTCTGGGGGACACGTCCTCTCCGCCCCATGGGAAGGGTCTCCCTGCTCAGGGGATGACCTGACCGCTCCCAAGGAGCCCCTGGAGGCCCAGGCCTTTCTGCCGCCTTCATGTCAGCTGGGCGCGTGTCAGAGCCCATGCGCACAATTGCACCCGACCCAGCCCTCGCCTGCCATGTCTAACCCCACCAGGTCAACACACGCACAGAGGCCACAGAAGGGCAAGCAGGATCCTCGGAGCAGTGCATGCCCCTCTGCCTAAGGCTGAGGTGCTGTCCTAGTGAGCCAGGGTCAGAGTCATGCCAGACTAGGGTACACCAGGCTCCCTGTACTCAAGATGACATGGAGACAACACTGTTGCCCCGGACCGAGCCAAGCCCAACAGTATGGTAGATCCTGGACAAAGGGTGTAAAATGGAAGCTTAATTTGATGTCTTGAGGCACAAGCTTAATTTCTGGTTCTGGCAATGCCAGCTAATTGTACAGTTTGAGGCCTTGAACAAAGCATGGGACAGAGGGCATCTTTCTCATAAATTTAGTCAAAATGTGGCTTGGAGCAACATCCTGTAATAAAATGTTGTGTTGTGCGGTACAACCTCCCGCACTCCCATCAAGGTTCTCTTTGCACATTCTGAGAGCAGCTGAAAAGGCCAGGCGCTTTCTCTTTCCACTCACCACAGCATGCAGTCAAATACACAGGCACTTCAGCTTGGTCTCAGGCGTGCTTAGGAGTGCACTCTACTTGGGTACTATATCCATTTCTTACAGCATAAATTGTGTACTTGATATCCCCTAAGCGCCCTGACAGGTGGCTCAGAGCTTTGCCTGCATCACCCATCTGCAGCTTCCCTTTTGTCTTTGTCTGGCAAGTAAGGCAAGAAACTCAGACAATACTTCTGTGTGTCCCAGGCTTGTGCTTGGTAGGATTTTCCATAGCAAGACCCATACTGCTTCACCAGTTTTAATGAGCTGGACCCCTTTTGCAGATGGATAAACATGAGATCCAGGGTATAAACAGACATTGCATTTGTGCTACTATGAAAACATTTATGGCCACACAAAGGCTGAGCAAATAGACCTCCATGCCCCTTGTTATGCCACAAAATTTCTCTGGCCTTTAAATTTGCAGTATGATTTTGTACTGCTCATTTTGCAGCAGCCATCTGTTTGCTTTAAGGCAGAAGAGTGTGGGTAGCCTGGAGCTACCTGTACTCTCCAGCTGCCCTGAGCAAGCACTCCTGGGCTTCAGTGGCCTGAACCTGCCTACTTTGGGAATTCCCATTCTTTTTATCCCATGCTGAAGATTCTTACAATGAGTTGGGCTTCAAAATATTGTTTGAGACAGGGCCAAGTTCGGACAATAGTGTAGATGAGGTTTTGGGATTATGATGTGGGTTATGGATTAAGGTTTGGGTTAGATTCCAGGATAGTTCTTAATATATCATATCTTCTTGCATACAGTGCACTCCAGAATAAGATATGCATCTTTTTTTGAAAGGCTGAATGAAGAAAAAAAGAGATCTTTCTTTATGGTAAGTAACTGAGTGGCAGCATCTAGGGAGCGGAGCCTACTCACTGTTCTGCTCCCTGTGCGTTGCATCCAGACTTTACTTTTGCTTGTGCCTGGTAAGCGGGAGAAACTGCTGTTATCATATTTTCTTACATATTATGCACACTCCTATTTCTAGTGATTGGGTTTGGGGGAAAAGGTGAGTGTTGTATACAAGAAAATACGGCAGTAAAAAAAAAAGTTGTGGGAAAGGGGTCAGAGTTTTCCCTTGAAAACAGAGTTTTCTGTTTTCTGTCTCAACCTTATAATTTTAGTCTAAGCAATCATATTTTTAATCTAAAATTTAAATGGACAATCTGGAATTGTTGTTATTAACTTTAATTGTTGTTATTAATAATGATCTACAAATTAATTATTTCCATGTAATTGATTTTAAAATATCTAATAAACAATACTACCATTTTTTCAATGTCATCAGGTATCACAAATATTGTACATTTAGAAATTTTCTTTAAAAAAATCCAGTTCTAAGACCATCAAAATGATTTATCTGCAATAACAAAGTTTGGTCACTTATAGTCATTAAGACTGAACAAGTCTTTAAAAAGCCCCCTTTTCTTAAAAAAGATGGAAATAATCCAATTCTGCTGACAGATTTAGTTAATAATCAATATTTAGGACAAAACCCTGAGGTTTCCTAAGCTTATTTTGCTAAATTCATGTTTAATAATTTTTTTTCTGTATTCTTTGCAAATTACACCCTATTACTATATCACTACTGACTGTACAGAGTGGGGAGTTAACAATCTGGGTAACATATCACTGACTCATTAGATTCCCTAAGACAAGGGTGTCAAATTTACCTTGCACCCCAGACAGGATCTGTACTGTGGGGCTCCTCGTGAGCTGACTTCAGCCTAGAGCATGCGTTGGCAGCAACATCAGCAGGAGCTTTGGCATGGGGCATGAAACAGTGGTGGTAGCAGTGGTTCCAGCATGGGGTGGCAGTGTAGCCAGCAGCCAAGGAGGTGGGGCCACAGTGGTGGTGATAGGTGAAGTGGCTAAAGGGCAACCAGGGTTGTATCAGACTTTTTTCATCCTCCCACTGCTAACCACTATGTCTACTGGAGCCCAAGGGCCCCAGATTCTGCAGCATGTCATGTCCCCTCAGACACTCCCCTCCCCCCAAATTTGGTAGCCCAGTGGGCCAGATCAGAGTACTGCAACTTTGATCTGGCCTGTGGGCTATACATTTACCATCCTGCCCCAAGGAATATAATGATCCCTTCACCTCCAGCTCATGTAATCCACTGGAGCACCCTTGCAGGGCAAATCAAAACAGAAACCACCAGTCCTTGAGAATTAGAATTCTCAGTAACGCAAGCTGGACTCGGTTCACAAAAGGTATCTCAGGACTTGAAGAAGTCTCACTACTACACTAAGGTCCCAAATGCATGGCAAGAGGCAAGCAGCTACATTTCCAAAGCTAACAATGGTTAGCTTTTATGATGCCAACGCGACCAGTCATAAAGATGGTTATTTAATTATAAGTAAATTAACTAACTTTTATTTCATCATTGGTATGAGTGTTCTGCCAGCCCCTAACGTTCTCAGTTAGGCAATGTCATATTTTAAACATAGGAGGAAAACATACTGATATTTCTCCCTTCATAATAAATACAGTGATGGACATTTGTGAATGCCAGTGGGTGGACAATCGTGCATTTAACCTGCTAAATGAAAAACATAGCAGGACCCTGCAACTAGGGTGAGGCCATTTACAGTCAGTCGGACATCCCTGGAGTCATGCATCTCACTAGCACACTGCACTGAAGCATAGCAGCTCTGCCCCGTGCTGCTAGAGTTGTGAATAAGTCCTTGACTTCCTCACCACTAGGGGAGACAGGACAGTGCCATCCTGCCTGAACAATTGCTGTAATAAGCAAATATGTGGTTGTACAACTGAAAAGAGAGAGAAGTCATCCCTTGTATTCCACTTAATAGTGCAAACAGGCAGGGGTTCCAGCAAAATTATAAGAGAACAAGAGACAGAAGCAGGACCTCTGGCACTGCCCAGCAACATAAGGAAGTAGGTAGGGGTTTTTCTGAGAGGCTATCCTGAAAAACAAAGAGCATACACCCATTCAGACATCAGAGATGATCATTATGGAGAGAGGACCAAAGCCAATGCATACAACATATGCTATTAAACCTTATTATGTGCTCTATGAAATAAAATAATGTGGAAGACATTTCATTCAGGGTGCCTGATGAACAGGACCATTTTGGCTAGGAGCCCATTTTTGAGTCCACTGAGACCCAATTTCCACACACACCCCTCTCCCCCACCCCTGC